CGTTCACATCCACCCGGCAGACTTCACAGTTAAATCTCCTGGTTCCTTCTGCTCTGCAGATGGATGGGTCAGATTTACACCTGAGCCACCTCCTGTAAGAAAGGACACGTATTATGTGTTTATGTGAATGAGGAATACACCCAGGCAGACAGGACAATAAATAGAACAAACTCACTCGTAATTGATACCTGAACAACACAGACATAAACTGAAAGACGTTCCTGTAACGTCCTTCAGATTTCTCACTCCCTTCCTCGGCTCATAAATTTTGCTGGGTTTCTGTCGATATGGCTGCTGAGCTGACAGCTGGGAGGCTCTTGAAGAAGGAAGTTCTCCTCGGTGTTGCGTGTCGTTCAGTTGGACAGGATGTACTGAGCGTTCTCCCCCAGTGTGAGTGCTTGCCTGTCAGTGTGAGGATTGTGAGGGGGTTCCAAGGCAGGATCAGTACGCTGCTGAGGTAGAGTGTAACAGTCCAAGGTAGACAAGCACAGACACTTCAAGGAAGCAAAGTCAAAAACCAGGCTTGAGTCAAAACGGTAAGAAAAGCAAGGTCGAAGTCTAAAGCAAAACAAGGGGACAAAACACAAAAAGTCAATGTTCCATAGTAATCGAGGGTCAAAATCAGAGGCAGCGACACAAGCAGAGCAGTGAGGCCCCGTGAGGCCAAAGCCGACTTCAAGACTGAGCAGTGAGTAGACAGGAGAGAGGTGGTTTAAACAGAAGGAAGAATGATAATCAGATTCAGGTGTGGATGAAAATTACTGAAGCGGTGCAGTGGAGAATAGTCACAAGAAAACTTCTGATGCAAGAGAGGCAGATCAGGTCCCAAAATCTCCACAGTCAGGGTTTGAGACACACCACTTCACCTTGAGTCGAAAATCCTCATTTTGAAATGTGGAATGTTATCGAGCCTCACAGAAAGAGCCTCTTTCTAACATTACATTAGAGATCGCAGGTCCATCTGTGTATGTCAAAGGACCGAACAGTCTCCAAAGATGTTTTTATGGTTTCTAATAGACGGTATGAAAAGATCACTAGCCTTGTAAACACCAGCAAATGAGACATATTTTCAGTGCCTTGCAAAAGTATTTACCCCCTTTCCCAGCTTGTTGGGTTATAAAGGAGGTACACAGATTTTTTAAGTAAACATTTTTTATCCTAATCTTGAACCTGAACAATTTTAAGGGTGAAACAATTTACTTGTCAGCAAAAACTGCAAAGAAAATAAAATCTAAAATGTCAACACATCTAATACACATGTACTCACCTCCTTGCTATTTAGAAACCAAAATGTAATTAAAAAAATTACTTTTTGTGCCAGACAAATAGTTGAATTCTCCCTCTTTGTGCAAAATAAGAGTGGATCACAATATTTTACAGTAAATGCACAGATCTCTGTGAGATCCCTCAGTCAGGAATTGAACTGTAGTCAATGATTCAATACGGATATGATTTAAATCATATAAACTTTATATATTTCCAACTGTACTTTTATGCCTGTGAATTAACCCATGTTGTCTCCTTTTATAAAGCAACACATTTAAAAATAGAAATAAATCAAACTAATGATGAACCAGCTATTTGAACTGTAATCAACTTGTTTAAGATGTTTAAGAGGATTTTCTTTTAGAGATAAAGATAACTGTAGTGCCACACTCTGTCTGTTCTGCTAGATTTTGTCTCACCCTACAGGCCACCTGCTGCACAGTGTCTCTCGCGCAGTAATAGACTGCAGTGTCTTCAG